AGCGCAGCAGGGCCCAATTTCCTCAGCTGTTCCCATTTGACTATATGATGCAGACCTGTGCTCCTAATCCCTGAGCAGGGGCTACACAAGACTATTCCTCTGTTCGGTTATCTCAACAAATACTTACTGAGCAACTATTACACATCAAACCTTGTCCTAGGGCTATCACAGTGCTCACAACCCAGTGGAAAACAGAATTATAGGCAACTATAATATGGTTAAATGTATGAAAAAAAAAGTACATATGCACCCAGAGAAAGATAACAAGAGGGATCACTCGCAATTGGACAAGTGGAGCATCTGGCTGGCGTGGTAGGGGATGCATATAGAATATCAACGGATGAGGACAGGGAAGTAAACAAGAGCCTTGGAAGTCTCAATAAGCAATGTAGATTGCACTTCAAAGACAGAGCAAGCCATGAAGGGTAAGCAGGAGTATGAGCTGATCTGATTCAACTAGGAGAAGGCAGTAGAGGTGGCAAGACTAGAGTCAAGAACACGACAACCTTAACCAGGGCAATGACAGTGATGGAAAGAAGGAAATGAACTTGAGAAACCTCTAAGATGCAATCAACAGGATCTAACAATTAATTGGTTGTGGCTACAGAAAAGATGGTTCTCAGGTTTCTGACAGAACTAAGTGGATGGGACAGTCACTGGTGAGATGCTGGCGGGCAGGCTGCAGGGAAACAGCACAAGTCTGTAACCATTTAGGGGAAGGGATAGGATAGCAGCTGGTGTGGGGCTCAGGGGGCAGCTGGAGGAGCTTACTTTTTCTCCATCAAAATCTGTCAGTTCCCACTTCTCAGAGAAAAAGGTATGAACACATGAGCATACAGAGGAGGACAGAAGCCACAACAAAGCTGAGCTCACTCTGGTTAAGTCAAGTGGTCAAGTGTGTAGCATAAAAAGAAAACTAGGACAGAGGTCAAAGGAACACCAATATTTAAGAAACAACAACATTTAAGAAAAAAGGAAAAGAAGTTACCCGTAGAAACAACTGAGAAGTAGAAACAGAAGGAAAGATGAAAAGTGTCTGAAAAAGGATAAAGTGGCTGGCTCTGTTGAGTGATGCCCACAGCACTCAGCCCTTTAACAAGGGTATTACTGGCTCATCAGCCACAATTTGCAGGACAGTCACAATGCCCTCGTGCCCTCCCAGGTGTGTGGCTCAACCAAAGCTGACGGTGGTCTCTCTCTCCAGTAATTCTGACCACCAGGCTCTGTGCTGAGGGAAGCCCCAGCAAGAACTGACTGACACCAACAGTGACAGCAGGTATCTTTCAATTTCCACACTTGCTTTTCTTTGTTTTAATGAAGCTATTTATAGAAAAATGCATTTCTTTATTTTTCTTTTTATCTGAAAAGCAGAAAGAAAGATCTCCTACCCACTGACACGCTCCCCAAATGCCTGCAACACCAGGGCTACATTGGGCCACAGTGAGCAGCCAGGAACTTAATCTGGCAGAAACCCAAGTACTTAAGTTAGCATCTGCTGCCTCCCAGGGTGCACAGTAGGAGGAAACCGGATCAAAAGCAGAGAGTACGCAGGACTCGAACCAGGCACTCTGAATGGGATAAGGGTATCCTAACTGCTGACTTAACCAAAGAGCAAAAGTCCTGCCTCCACCTCCAAAGTACCCGAGGCTCACTGAAATACACAGGCACAGGGGTGTGCTATGTATACCCCATTAAAACAGCAGGGAGAAAAGGTGAAACTTAATGCCACACCAGCATTTATATGCTGAGCCTCAAGTAGAGGAATAATTTCCCACCCCAAAACTGAGGCTGAACCTAGATGAAGGCCCTCTCCACAGTCCTGAGCAGGTCGTGGCCCCGGCTCCACCACAGTGCAGCATCTATGTGGCTCACATACCCTGCACCCTTGGCCCAGTGGATCTCCTCCTAAGCCACATCAGAGCCAAGGCCTGGAACACCTTCCTTCCACTCTTTCCTGGTCTGCCCCTTCTCACATAGTCACAACTCATCAGGAAAGCTTCTGGTCTAGCTTCTCAGACAGGCTATGCTAATCAGATAGTGAACCTGGATATTCAAGCTACAGACTAAGATCTAAACAACTCAAGCGGTAGCTGCACAGGTCTCACTCTAGACCAGCTCTACTCTTCCACCACGCCAAAGAAGGGACCCCTTGAAAGAGCCATCTCCCACTCAGTTTAGCAGAGACACAACGTTAAACACAGGGAGCTTCTAGAATCACCAGGTAAGATGAGGGAAGGTGAGCTGATCAAAGATCAAACCCCAGAAATTGCTGCTTCTTGAAAAAAGTATAGCAGGGAAATTAAATCCATTCCCACTGAATTAAAACCCACCTGACCAGGATCTGTTTTGAACATCAAAGTCTTGTAAACCTGAAGTATCAACTCATCCAGCTTTGATAAAAGATGGACACAGAATGATTTTGTCAGGGTGGGATTTCTGCTGTCACTTCAGTTTCCATTTCTCAGTGCCTCACTAATCAAGCTCTTCCCAGCCAAAGTGATAAGAAGCTGTCTTGGGGAAATGGGGGGAAGGAGAGGAGCCATGACTACCAGAAACTAGAGAATGAAATGAAAATATTTTCCCTATTCTATAGACTTAGTTAAATCTAGAAGTGGATGTCAAAATAGGAAGTGAGCCATACACTAACAAGTTGTGAGTGTCAATTTAACAACACCCTTGTCAAGCTCATCAGCAGCCTTTACCAAGCGCATAAAAAGGAGATGGCTCTGACGAGAGCCAGCTGACGTGCCTCTGGTGAGAGGTTCCAGGAGCCCCGATCAGCTGTGCACCGTCACGCAGCACTACTTAGCTTTCCTCTCTGGCTGTTGTTGTTTGTTACACATTTAATCAAGAGCCTTCCCAGTCGTTATGCAGAGTCCTGCTTCTAAGAGGCAGCCACAGAGCTCGCTTCCTTCACCCCTACCTCCTACAACTGCTTCTTCCTGTACACCCTTCATGGGCCTAGCCCCACTGAACCCCAAGAAGCTACTGAAGTTGGCCCTACTCTCCTCTTTTGGAAACTACCTGGTCTTGGAGTTCAACTGCATCTGTAAGCTTGGGGTTTTTTGCTTGCTTGTTCATCTATGCACAAAAGAGGCCACCTCCTAGTAAAGACAGTATTTGGTTCAACTACACATGCTAATCTGTGGTCATTAAAACCTCCTTTCACAGGTGCTCGGATTCCACAACCCAATCACTCTTCCTATCATCTTTCATGAAGACATGAAGCAGTGAAGCACCAGCATCTATCCTGGTGCCACTGTGTGCAGTACAGTGCAGGGCCCAACAGCTGGCCTACAACTGCAGCCAGAACAGGACAGACCCAAACAAGACCACAGCCTCTGAAGTTTCCTCTCCATCTCCTCAAAGGCCAGTTCTGAACTTGGGATTAGCCCAGCCAGCTAATCCTCAATGTTATATACAGGAACGTCTCCAAATGCGTGTGTACACACACACACACACACACACACACCCACCCCACTCACAGTTACAGCAGCAGATCCTGACACAGGGGTTGAAGAGATAACCAAGCCAAAGAGAGACAAACACTGGGAGAGTGGGAGATTGCTGAGGCTCACTGGAAGGACTGGACCTCTAGACCCAGTAGGAGGTTTTGCTGGGCCACAGCAGCCCCAGAATCCTAGAATTAACCCGAATCCTGCCCCACCAGGTACAGTTTCTCGTGAGCTGCAGAGCTCCACACTGGGCCCTTAGCTTCAAGAGCTCAAAGCTCCCAGGACATCATTAACAAAAGCAGCAGTATCCTCTCTGTCACATCCCCCATGGCTTCATCATTCATGTTTGCTTCCTGTCCCAGGATGCACAATTTCCTGATCAGTGAGTGTCACATGGGAGTACACCTGGAGACTGAGGTCCTGTACAGACACAAACTAAAGGATGTGGGAGATAAGGAATGGGTGTGCATATGGGACCTGGACTTGATCCTCCTGTCTCACCCAGAGACCTGAGGTCCAATCACAGGCTTGATAGGTACAAAACTTCACTTTAATGCCCTGCATCCAAAAGGCATTCAAAGGTTCTCTGGTGAGAAGCTAATGTTTGACTTGGCAGTAAATGGCTCTCTAAAGCTGGTATTCCCCACCTCTACCAATACCCCAGCTTATGTTCAAAAGTTCAAATACACACACACACACACACACAGAGACAGAGAGACAGAAAAGAGAGAGCCTGCCACTGCCTTCAGTCACAAGGAACACAGAAGTATCGATTCTATCACTCCTCAGCAAACAGTGCCCCTCCACCTCCATCCCATTGTATTCCCTGGGGATTGTCTGAAGCCAGCTATCCATGAGATGCAAAAGTGTCCATCCGGTGAAGGAACCAGTTCTGTTACCCACAGCTAGGGCAGGAGCAGGAGACAAAGGAGACACAGCAATGGAGACAAAGGAGAAAAGAGAGGGTTGCCCTCCCTTGTCCACTGGGCTCTCAACTGGAGCACCAGGGTCTTGCAGGACAGATGAAAGCTTAGCATGGCATAGTAGTTAGGAGCCAGGTCACCTGGATTTGAAACTTGGCTCTTTGTGCCTTAATGTCCTCAGCTATAAAATAGGAATGATATCCATAATAAGACCTACCTTATAGGGTTGATGAATGAGTCATGATTTCTAAGGCACGGAGAAGAGTGAACACTATGGATTTGGCTTAAAGAAAACAAATTTTCAAGACCTTCCTTTATAGGAATCTTTCCTTCAAGGGTAATAACACAGGGGCCAGCAGTTGGAAGGTCTTGTGAATGGTGACACCTGGCAAAGGCAGGAAGACCCCAACAGCCATCCAGGTAGAGGCCCAACGTGTCCAGTCCCTGCTCCACAAAGGCAGACGACAGGACTGCCAGCTCCTTCTGGCTCTGGAAGCCCCAAGGACCCAGGGAGACCCTGACCCACCTAGTCTGTGGTCTTGAGCATTTAAGCCTGGGAAAGGCATGACTTAATCCCACAGATTCTAAGACCTGCTAGCAAAGCAACCCTTCTCATACTCACATGACTTTTAAGTCCCAGTCTCCACAGGTGACAAAAATTGACTTGACGTTTGGATCTAAAAGGCCTTCCTTCGCCATCCACTCATCGACCCTCTGCAAAGTACACAAGGACAAATGAGATTTTTTTTTTTATTGTTCCCTGAGCCTGTGAAGAACCACAACAGTGACGTACACAGATAAACCACTTGCAATCAGAGCAGGGGAAAACAGTAATCTTCCTCAGCTATGGCTCTGCTCTGGGCTCTTGGCCTTGCCTCAGGACTATGGAAGCTTCTGGAGGGAAGCCCATCGGGGAGATCCCAGAAACCCAAGTCCATCTTGGAAGGGAGCCCCTCCACTGCCCCACTGCTTGGCAGTCTTTCCCAGGTTCAAGCAGAGCCATCCAAACACCTTGCTCCGACCTGGCCCTTAGAGATGTGAGAACAGGATAAACACAGAAGGAGACTTCAACGCACAGTTTGCTTCTTCCCCTCCTTCATTCATTCCCTGGTGTTTTCCTGTCACCAAATATGCCGTGAGCCACATGTATGAATCTGATTAAGGTGAAGCAAATTTTCACCTCCAGCAGAGACCCCTTTGTTGGGGTCAGCCCCATCCTGACCACTGGGAGAGCTCCACCTATTCCACTTAAAACACTTAAACTCTATATTTTCCTGTCCCTAGCAGAGAATTCAAACTCAATGCAATAATCTGAAGGCTGAGCTCAGCTGCCACAAAAGGAAAGACATTGCTCCCAGACATACCTGAAGTCCCTCTTTCCCTCCAGCACTCATCTGGAAGCTCTAATACGAACTCAGTGCATAACAAGAGCATTCTCATAAAGCAGCAGGAAGCACTGTCCACTTTCCAGAAGGTCCTGGGCATGGACAGGGAGTGCAGATCACCCCTCTGCTTCAGCCAGCACAGGAGAGTGACGTTTTTATGGATATTTCATACAATGCAGGATTGAAAGCCAAATGCCTCTGATTCCCAGCCTGTAGCTCTCGGGATCCTGGCTGTGTCACTGATGGGAAGTCATTTAAGTACTCAGAACTCAAGTTTCCTATATCATTTTCCCCAAATTTTTTTTTATTATTATTAGAAAGACAGATTTCCAGAAAGAAGGACACAAAAACAGACATCTTTCATCTACTGGTTCACACTCCAAATGGCTACAACAGCTGGAGCTAAGCTGATCCAAAGCCAGAAGCCAAGAGCCTCTTCTGGGTCTCCCATTTGGGTGCAGGATCCTAAGGCTTTGGGCCATCCTCTACTGCTTTCCCAGGCCATAAGCACAGAGCTGGATGGCAAGTACAGCAGCGGGGACATGAACTAATGCCCATATGGGATGTTGACACTTGCAGGTAGCAGATTAGCCAGTTGAGTTCTCACACCAGCCCCAGGTTTCCTTAATCTTTAGAAAGGGGGAAGGATGAATAATCTGACACAGTTGTTCTGAGAATTAAATATGAACAACTGTTAAGTGCCTACCACAAAACAAGGTAGGCTGAGCTGTGGAGAAGTCAATAGGGTAACGGAGAAATGACAAGAATGCTGCAAGACCTAGTTGGAGCAAGCGACTAGCTCTTTCCACAGGAAAGGCTTCACAGAGATCACAATTCAAGGAGAAACTTGAGGGCTGGGTGTGCTGAACACAGTCAAATATAGAAGAGGAGCCATGAGCAGAACCAGAGGGTCAGGCACAACCATTTCATATTTGAGAAGCAATCACCTCTTTCATATCTGTCCTCCCTATCAGACTATAAGGCCCATGAAGGCAGAGACAAGTCTGCTTCATTCACTGCCTTGATCCTGAACCCAGTGCAGTGTCTACTCAACAATATCCAGTGATTAACTGAAACTAACAGGAGTTAAAAGTTTAGTGTTTCCAAAATCCACAGCATAGACAGAAGTGAGCCTGGGAGTGGACTGGGCTAGATGTGAAGGTGTACCACCCAGGTAATGGAGGGCCATGGAGACCTTTCAGTAAGATTACTTTCTGGACTCCCCTGAGATGCCAGGAAGGCCAAATATCCAATCTGGTTCCATGGCTGAAGTAACACCAGCAACCAGAACGTCAGAGCTGCCCCCTAGTGCCAAATGATGAAGACCCTGTGGTTTCTAAGCCCTCTTCACTCTCTCTACTTCAGAGATTCCCAGATACCTCCTGGACTTTCCACTACTGAATAGCTCATCTCCTCAGTTACTCTGGCCCAATCCTTTATATACACACACAGATGTATGCATATTTACACATGCACACACATGCATCCTTCCCCTAGGATTGCCTAAACACAGAAGACTGCATGTAAGAAAAGTGGTAAGGTGAACCTGGAATCCCCTAAATCAGCATAACCTGCTCCAGTTCATTGGCCTCACATTTCCAAGTTCAGTGCTCCATGTGCTAGAGGGCTCCCACTTCCCCCAACTCCTCACAGTGGAAAAAGAAAGCAAGACAGGAGGCCAGGCCTTGTAAGGCCAGGCCTGGCCTTCACTGTGAAAAACATTTAGCACTCAGTGTGGCTCTTGAAAGTTTAGGAGCCAGGCCATTTGATCACACAGTAGATAATGAGCACCTTCATTACAAGCTTGTCCAAAGAAATTAATCAGGCCCATTTCCTTCCTTTCCCCCATTGGAGGGAGGCACAATGGTAAAGATGCTACTTAGAATGCATCCCAAATCAGAGTGCCCAGCCTGACTCCAAACTATTTGACTTAAGAAAAAAAAAAAAAAGATTTATTTTTACTTGAAAGGCAGATTTAGAGAGAGAGATAAAGTAAAAGAATGAGAGAGATCTTCTACCTGCTGGTTCACTCCCCCAAATGACTGAAATGGCCAGAGCTGAGCCAATCCAAAGCCAGGAGCCATAAGTGCAGAGACCCAAGGACTTGAGCCTTCCTCCACTGCTTTCCCAGGCCATAAGCAGGGAGCTGGATCAGAAATGCAGCAGCTAAGAAACTGGTACCCATACAGGATGCCAGTGCCACAGGCAGAGGATTAGCTTGATACTCCACTGTGCTGGCCCCACTACTACATTTTCTGATCCAGCCTTCAGTTAATGCACACCCTGAGCAGCAGCAGGTTCCAGTGCTAGGTTCCTGCTACCTATATAGGAGACAGTCTCTTCCCAGCATCCCAGGCACAGAACTTCTGTGGAAAAGCTGCTTGTTCTCTGGCCTCCCTCAGGGACCAGGCCCTACTTAGAGATGCTGGCTACGCTGACACAGGGAAAGATGAGTCTTCTTTCTCCTGACTGACAGGGAATAGTACATGTGGAGAAGCTTTCTCAGTCACAGGAATGAAGCTCCCCTCAAAAAGTAGGGGCTCAGGATAGGCATCTTGGCCTAGCACTTTTTTGGGTGGGGGTGGTTCTATTTCTTTTTACTGGAATGTCAGATTTACAAACAGAAGGAGAGACAGAGAGGCAAGATCTGTCTGCTGATTCTCTAAGTGGCCACAACTACTGATGCAGAGCCCATCAAAAGCCAGGAGCCAAGATCTTCTTCTGGGTCTCCCACATGGGTACAGGATCCCAAAGCTTGGGGTCATCCTCGACTGTTTTCCCAGGCTACAAGCAGGGAGCTGAATGGGAAGTTGAGCACCCAGGATATGAATCGTCACCCATATGGGATGTTGGCACATGCAAGGCAAGGAATTCAGCCTTCTAGGCTACTGTACCATGCCCTTGGCCTAGTATTAAGATGTCCATTTCCACAATGGAGAGCCTGGGATCCAGTCCTAGTTCTAGGTCTCAACTGCAGCCTCCTATAATACAGACCCTGGGAGACAGCACTAACGTCTCAAGTGAACCAATTCTAGCCACCCAAGGGGAAACATGGGTTGAGTTCCTGGCTCCTGCCTTGATCTTTGGCCCAACCCCAGCTGTTGCACACATTTGCGGAGTAAAGTGGGGATTAGAAGATCTCTCTCAAACAAACAAAAAAGCAGGCCAGTGGGTCAGGAAAGCACCTCATAGCCTGTTCTATCTTCACTGGATCTACCATAGGTGTCCCCCCCGCCCGACCTTCAGTTCTACCCTCCCAGGTGCACCAAATGCACTCTGTCCTGAGGTGAGGCTAATCCTGCTTCTCACCCTGGCTGCATCTTTAGGGGGCCCAGGAAACAGCCTGCATCTGTTTCCCCAGTGAGGCAGGATCTCCTGTCTGGAGAAAGACGTTGCTTGCCTGCTCCTTGATGGCCACCTACTTCCTCTAGACTGCACACCCCTAGTGCAGCTGTGGTGCACTTGAACCCTGTTATGCCCCGCCTAGACACCCGCTTTCTTCTATGCCTTGATGAGGCCTGAGCTTTGAGCTTATTAGTCTTAAAAACACAGACAGCACCTAATGAGATCCACAGGCCTTTTCTCTTCCACTCCCCCTAGAGAGGAGGAACGGGGGGGGGGGTCTTCTCCCCCTCTGGAAACCTCCAGGCCAGAAGTGTGGGAGACAAGCTGAGGCCAAATGTGCCTTTCCTTATTCCCTTGGGGAAGAGCACAAGAAGCAGCGTCTTAACCTTTCCCAGCTCCCTGAGGAGAACATCCGAGAAGTATGGTCTCTGCCAAAGGTTCTAAAGTCTTTAATTTGATTTCCCTCACATAGGCAATTGTTGTAATTATTCTGATTAGGAATCATTACCCAGTGCAGCCTCTGCCCCCGACAGGCACAATGCATCCAGCGGCAAGCTGCAGTGGGGCAGGCAAGGCCCAGCCGCAGCTCCTGGAGGAGCTGACAGCAAACAAAAGACATCGATGGGGAGTTCTGGGTGAGTTAATGAAGTGCTCACATGCCACAAGAAGCCAACACTAAAGCTAAACAAAAACATCTCCAGTCCCCGGGGCTAGTCCTGCTACGACACAGCTCAGTTCCTCCATTCCCTGAGCCACCAAGCACAGGCTGCCCAAGGCCACCCAGCACAGGACCACAGCCAGGAAGGGGTGGGGGGCCCCTCGGCTCCAACTCCTGGCAGCACTTGGACATCCTGTCAGTAACCCTGACGGGAACAGCTGGAGATGACAGATCAATGGTTCAATACTCTCAACAGCATGTCACTGATGTGACAGCAAATGTTATTCTAATCAAGTGATAATCATAGTCAAATTACATGGCTACATTCTCAGGAGAAGAGGGAAAAAAAGGCAGCAGGAAGGGTCAGAGGTCAGGAATTAAAGGTCACTCAACCTACCTCCAGCACTTGCTGCAGGCTTGGCTGACCATCCACCATGGCTTGAATAATCCCGGTGAGCTGAAAAGAAAGAGAAATAGCTGATGGGTAGAAAGCCAGGGTGCAGGACCTCAAAGCTCTCCCGAAACAATGCCTTTCTCTTCTCTTCCTTCTACTGTAAATGGCTCTGATCTGGCACTGCTTTCAGCACAGAATCCAACTGAGTCTTGGGAATTCAGTACAGGACATCGTATGAGTTTTTCCCACCAAATCCCTGCCCTGAGATGGGGCATACACATACACACTGATCACAAGGTGTGTCTCATGCCTGCTTCAGCTTTCATCTTGAAAGACTTGTATTTCACATATGTTATCCGTAACCAACATGCTCCATAACTTCCAGTAAGTTACAGTATCAAATAAATCCAACACCAAGCTGCATAGAAGCTCATGTAAAACCTGGGGGTGGGAGGGTGCACTTGGCTTCAAAGTCCATCCCTCCTCTCAGCTTCAACCTTCAGCACTTCCCCTGCCTAACTGTCCATAATCTCAGCAAAGCTCCCCACGCAGCCAGGCAAAAAGACTCACCTCTAATCAAAAGGGAAACAAAGACAAAAAGGCCAAATACACAGAACTGGGCCAAGAAGATTTGATCCACACGCCTGTACGCCACCTAGGTCAAGCCTATGTCTAAACAGGCTTGTGGTTTTACTTTGTTTTGTTTTTTTCTTAAGTGGAAAATATCCCTTAGGCACAAATTAGATATAGACTGCCTGCAAGCATCCAAGGCAAGGGGTTCCCATATTCAATACACCAACTGGAAATCACCATGCCCAGCATGCCCCTGGCTACTTCCAGAAGAGTAGTAGCTCGGGCTTGCTTGGAAACTTTTTCATTTTTTAAAGTGGCTGGGGGCACAGGGTGGAGATTAAAACTCCAATTAAACTATAATTACATGTAATGAATACCAAATACCCAACTCACAGACACCGCTGGCTCTAAGAGGGAAGGTTATTTTCTCATCGTGACTTACATGGAATGGTAATACACACCTTTTAGGGAAGGAATTTTCATTTTAAGAACGCTGAGTTCCTCTAGGTGGGTTTCTGTAGTTCATCAAGTCATTATTAGGTGGTATTTTAAGGAAGTGTAAGGACACAGCCACTCTATTTTATATTCCAGAAACTGTTTTTATATTAATCTGTATTTTAATTGGGTAACAGCTGCTGCCTACAGACTTCCCATGGTCTAAAAGGAAAATAAATTAGAAAGATTAACTACACTGTTGTTTCGCAAGGCTTTAACCCACAGCATGCCCACCCGGCTGGCACCTCTACACCCTTTCCTTGCTTGGGAGACCAAAGAACTGCCCACCAGAGGGAGGGCCTGAGTCAAGGAGAAAACTGATCGGCTGTGGGCTTGGGAGATGGGACTAGGTCAGCCACTGTCACATCAGATTACAAAGGACTCTACTTCTAGTCAATCAGTAGCTACTCTCTGAACACCTACTGTGTGCTGCTCTGTATTCAAGGAACTAGAGGTCCAGCAGCAAAGAGAAGCATCAAATCCCTGCCCTGGAGGAATGTGTGCTCTTCCTGGCATCCAGAGCCTATCTGCCTCCCAGAGGCACAAACAGAGCAGGCAGCTACCCTTTGTTTAGCCTCCGGCATGCAGAGGCCAAAAGGGTCAGGAATTGGCTTGTTTCCAACTTCAGGTCTACCACTGAGGTTACTGACTGACACCCAGGCAACCACCACTGCCCATTCTGGCCAGTTTCTCTCCTGCCAAATCTTCCAGAGTTAAGACACACCATCAAGCTTGGACCAGGGGCTTATGGTCAGGACCATCCTAGAAAAGAGGATCCGAAGTCACTTCCTCTTCTTGGAAAGCTCCAGTGTCCAAATGTGCGTTTCGGACTGGTCAGTTTCCTGGGTCAAGGTTAGTTCCACTCTTTCCCCTTGCTTTCACCAATGGTAATTCACAGGAGCTGCGTGCCAACAAGCTTCAGGACAGTCTTCTTCACCCAGGGAACCAATGGTACCTGAGTGCTCCCTCCTTACAGACAGGGCTAAGGTCAGCACCTGTCATTTCCACACATAACTGCACTGGTTCCAAGGCAGATCATCGAGTTTGGGTGAGAAAAGCAAAGACTGGACACCTAAACAGGAAAACTGAGGACCTCTCACCACAGGCCAGGCTCACTTCCTCCCACTTGGGTTAGGAGTAGGGCCCCGCCACCTTGGGGCTTGACAAACTCCATTCTGGTGCTCAGAAAGCCTACACCCAGAGGCCTGAAAGGAGCCAAGTGCGATCAACTCCCTCTCCAGGTTCCCCCAAAAATGGGCATACTTCCTTTTTGGACCAGCAAGGCAAGGCTCACAGCTGAATTTCTCCAGGATTTGAACTCAAGCCCCAAAGACACAGGGTTTTGAGCCACCAGTTCACTAGACACAGCCTTCTTGGGGAAGTGCTCTTGCCCCTGTACCAATCCCTCCCAGTATGGACACCTCTTTACCAGATCTGCCAAGGTACACAATAAAGAGGGTATGAAATGAAAACAGTGAGGCCCTGTGCCTGACAGCAACATTTTGTAAGATATTTACGAGACTTGCACAAGCAGCTGTGACGATGTCATAAAATTCATTCTGGGAAGTTCTGAGACCTAACTTAAACTCTTCATAACAAGTTCACACCTATTCCCACTTGGGTTAACAAATGTTTGTAAAAAGCTTTTCATATCTTCACAATGAAAGGTACTAGAGCAAAGCTAGGTATTATGAAGCTGAGAACCAGGGCTCACAGGCTAAACAGAGCTCAGAGACCTTAACCACTTAAAGCAGGAGAGGTGAGAAGAAGAATTAATGTGTGCTCTGTGGCTCTTTTCACCAAGGGATTACAGATTAACTCCCACTTCTCCAGACTCGGAAACCACAGGCGAGGGGCTTTTGACCCTGACTGATAACGCGGCAGGTTGCTGAGCTCCCCTTCTCACCCAAGGGCTTTGTCCAGGAATGAGCCAGCTTCATCATAAACACTAGCAACTACAGGAAGCAGCCCAGGAAACCCAGTGCCAATAGCATGTCAGCAACCAGCGCTTTCTCCTTTCACAGTTTATCTCCAACACAATCGTATTCTGACACCAAGACAGTTTGTTGATTACATAAGCACTTGTCTCTGGTGTGCAATCTGATAATCAGACCCACTCTTTCTCCTCAGACAAAGAGACCAATAAATCTTACCCTTTATAAGTACAGGTGCAAGACAAAGCCCTTTACTGGCATTTAACAAAATGGACATTTTTCTTTCTTTCTTTTTTTTTTTTCATGACAACAACAACAAAACTGCACATGGTCAGGGACCAGAGATCTGATGAGCTGCAGCAGATTCTAGAGGTCAGACAGAACGGTCCTGGGGAAGGAATGGAATACGCCTCATCCTGTCTGTCAGAATCACATCCCCAGGCAGACTGTCAAGGATAACTGAAGACCTCAAGGAGGCTAATAACACGTTCCTTACGCACAGCGGTGAGTGCCTCTGTGTGGGAGTTAAAGCCTTGCTCACGGCAGAAGTGTTCTTCCCTGTGTCCAGCAGTGAGCCTCTCTCCCCACATACATGTACACACATCATGTGAATAAGTACACACACACACACACACACACACACACACACCTGCACGCCCACTAGGGTTCTTAGGAATTTGACCACAGGAGAGAAAATCCTGCCAGAAGAGCTGCTCAGGTAGAATTGGGAGGTCTGGGCTGTTCCCCACACTCACTAATCAAAGATGTTCTCAGATTGGAATGACCTCTGCCCATTCCCAAAGGCATGAAGTCTTGGAACAAGACCCTCATCCTGCATCCTTGCTGCATCTGAGACAATTCCAGCTAATATGGACACATGGCAATACATAGATAACCTGAGGTTTTCTGAAGACTTGACTTACTCAAAAGAACAAGTCAGCAGCACAGTTGGTTTCAGAGGAGATAGGAAATACTTCTGGACAATATTCATTCATTGAAGAGATCCATATCAAGTTTACTTGGTACCAGATCCCAATGATGTGGGCAGAGATGAATCAGACCTAGCTTCTGCCCTCAAGGAACTCAAAGCCCAGTGGGGACTCAGATAAATAAATACAGTATAATATCTGGTTAGTACAAGCAGAGTAAGAACAATGAAAACTGTGTCTCAGAGAAAGCATCCCCGAAAAGAGCACTGAGGACAAAGAGGAGTTAGGGACGAGGGCAGGAGCAGAGCATGGGCAGAGGGACCATCATGTGCAAAGGCAGACAGGAAGAGGACATGCTTGGATGAGAGGAGCTAGGAAGGAGATGAAGCCAGGAGGCATGAGGCTAGAGAAAAAGCAAGAGGCAGGATATGGAGAGTTTTGAATTCTGGAACCTTGAGATGTAACATGACCACATCCTCACTTTCAGATCAGGCTTCACAGCCAAGATCCCAACCTATACTCCTACTACTCATCAAATGACCCACATATACCATCCCCCTCTGTCTCGTCCAAAAAAAGTAGCAGCTTTGTTATGGAGAAAATCTTCTTTTTCTAAACACTGTTGAGTATTCACTCCTAACCAAGCTGAACTGCAGGACCACTTTGTCCATTCCTAAATAGGCACAACCTTTCCATACTCTGGGCCTGCCTGTCAGAGCTGTGCAGCCTTATCTCACACAACCAGAGCCTGCAAAAGGCAGGCTATACCCAAAGAGGAAGCAAAAGACAACAGAACAATAGACCCTCAGGACCGATAACTGCTAGGATAAAGGAAGGAAGTCAGACAGATCTTCCATCCACTGGGTTCACTCCCCAGGTGGTTGCAACAGCCAGAGCTGAACCGATCCAAAGCCAGGATTCTCTTCTTGGTCTTCCACACATATGCAGGGGCCCAAGGACTTGAGCCAACATCTGCTGTTTTCCCAAGCCATCAGCAGGGATCTGGATCAGAAGTGGAGCAGCTGAAGACACAAACTGGTGCCCATATGCATGCTGGCATGTGCAGGCAGAGGATTAGCCAATTAAATCATCAAGCCAGCCCCAGCGAGGGAATTTTTTATATCAGTAAAATGAGGATTTTTCAAAAGGGGCAGAAAGGACAGCCTAGTGCTCTATGGCAATACAAGTAACTCCCAGGGGAAAGCAGGGAAAAAAAAAACAGCAGACCAAAAAAACCCAAAAATCCCAGTATTATTAGTTGGAACAACAAAATGCTTAAAAGAGTTAGCACTGTGACAGATGAATGCCTACAACAAATGCCTGATCATTGAGAGGGCAAAGACTGCATCAAGTACAGGAGCAACCCTTGAGACCTTCCATGTGGCCTAGACCCACTTCAGATTCCACAGAGAACCCCCACCATGTCAGGAAGGCCCTTCCCCAGCCTTCCCTTCACAGCCGAGGTTGGGACTACTCAAGAATTTCTTTCCTCATTTCATTCACATGTAGGAAGTAAACCTCGAAGTGAAGGTTAAAAAGCCTCTTATAGACCTCAGCGCAAACTCTTAAAACATTTAGAAACACTCATGTTTTTTTCTCATCACCTCTGCTGCCACACATTCTTGATCTGCAGTTCCACCATGGCCAATGGACCACTACCACATACAACACGACAGGTCTTGGAGAAAACAGCTACAGAAGGCTTCTCCACACTGTCCTAGGGGCTCCTCTCCTCTGCCAATAGCTCCTTTGAGCCACCAGCAAATATCAAAATTTTAGTTTCTCAATCTATAAAATGAGGGTCATATGAAGCTGCTCTCAAGGCGGCCAAGGACAGTAGACAATCCAGCCTTGGCTGCTGTCCTCTTGCTCCCCACAGAGTGCCCATCTTCATCAATGACACAATGTGCTTCCCACAAGTCAGCCACAGCTGCCCATGGGGTCACTTTATAGAGGGTCAGTGTAACGGTGATGGAAAGCTAAGAAAGCCTGAACATTTTTCCTTCCAAATGGCTGCTATCTACCTCTCTTGCCAAGGAGCTCTTAGGAAATTAAAACAAGGAAAGAACTTGAGCCCAGCACCAGCAGCATTCTGCTGTTGGACTCCAGCTCCCAGAAACAGAAAAGTAGACCCAAGCTTATCCTAAATGGCGTATAGACCACCAAACAACCCAAAGCTCTTTCCCCAGAACCCCTGCTGTCCTCCTCCATGGCTCTTACCTCTGTACAGAAGGGGGTAAGCTGTGGATGGACTACAGGCTGGACGTACATGTGAAAGGTAGACTCAATCTCCATGGTCCGGCCATTTAGCTTCAGGATAGGGAACTCAATGATTTCCTGGAGTGTCAAGGACATTAAAAAAAAAAAAAAAAAAAAAGGAAAAAAGTAAGTTACTTTCATCAAGATATCTCAAACAATAACTGCCAGTCAAGAAAGGATGAGTGTTTCTGGCTCATTAGCTCCTACCAGGCTAAACTCAACACTGGGTGAGATGAGGTCAGTATAATTACAGAACTAACATTCCCCCTATAAATATCCTCCCAGGTTCCAGGTATTGGGCATACCTCCTGTCCGTCCCTACTGTTTCTGGAAAGGGAAAGGATGGTGGTATCATCTGCCCCAGTGTTTCCAGTTTTCTGGCACAAACCTGTTCACTTGAGTCCTTTAAAATAGGCCCTGCTTCCCACTGGCCAGAATTCCAACTGTCTTGGAATGAGTCTGCATCTCTGGCCACACAGACAACCAGCCATCAGACCAATGCACAGATTCCCTTGCATGAAGTTTAAACACAGCTAGTGAGTTTCTTCATTCATTTTTTAATACGTGTGTGTGTGTGAAGATAATAAAGCCAGAGGGAACACCAAAGAGAAACAGAAAAGAGAGTAAGAAAAATAGCAGCCAGTGCCTCCCACCTTTCACATAGTACACCCTCCCCCTGGCTCCCTCCCTTCTCGACCAATAGATTAGCCAACCCTTCCCAGTCCACTGAACGTAATGGAAGAGAAGGAGGAGGAGTGACAATTTGTTTGGTGTCTCTAAGATTAATTTGTCTCCGTTATTTAATAGAGATGCACAGCACCAAGGTCCTGGTGTGCAAACAGGCTTGCAGAACGCTGGCTGTGCAGCATGCCTCATACATCGCTCCTGGGAAGGGAGGAGTGCGCCAGATGGGGGAGAGGGCAGGAGAGCGCACGCGAGCATCAGAGAGAAGAGGGAAAACAAGGAGAGAAGAAAAAAAAATTATTGCTTTTTAATATTCAAAAACAGTTTGCAAAATTTAATCAAAGCAGAGGAAAAGCTAACATTTTTACCACTTTGACATTTTTATTAGCGCTTTCATAAATTTTTAAAACATGAATGGAATTAGTTTACAACACACACACACATATACACATACACAAAAACTGCCCTGAAAACATCTGGAAGAGACAAATAGGAGATGATAAAAAAATAAATAAATAAAAGCAAATTTCTCCAGGAGAATTAGCATGTGCAAAAGGCCTCAACCACAGCAGACAGAGAGGGGACTCAGCCTACATAGTGGCCCCAGGAGTCAGCACCTGTGCAACCCTCTCCACACTCCTATTCTGGAGAGGTTCCTCCCAGTAATACCACAGTCAAGGCACAATGATTCTCTCCAGAGACAGCAAGAGAAGCAACACAGTCGCCGACGACAGCTGCCTGCACTTAGGAAAGGACAGGGTGGGACTCAGGAGAAACAGTCTCCTGGAGGTCCCAAGCAAGCCAGGCAACCTCCCTCCTAACACAGACACACACCGGGTTTGTTTTTAAAGCAGTCTTTCCAATTCAGCATGTTAACAGTGAGGACTGTAAATTCTACCAAGGCAGTCAGATTTTTCATGCCAGAGAAATTCAAAGGTTCTGGTTGTCTGGGCTCTCAGGACTGGTCCCCAAACAGGGGGATGCCAACAGGAACCTACTTCCAGAGAGAGGAAGGGCAAACAGCTAAAGGCTAAGAGGGGAGGCCCAGGCTGCTGTATAGATCAGGTGATACCTCCCCTCTCAGGGCCAAGAGAGGCAGACATTTGCCCTCCAATTCTCTGGGTCTTTCCCTTCACACCGCTAAACATTACAAAGTATACCAGCTGGTCTGTCCATACAGAAAAATACACATCTGGTCCACCTGACAAATCAAGTATCGAAGATTTCTCAGAGCGAACTCTGAGGTATGACTCATCAGAGTCAAGTTCATCTGACTCTCGAATTCCTGAGAGATCCTTCTTCTCCCACAAAGCAGGAGATTTCCCCAACAGAAAGAGCTTCACTGTCCAGAGAGTTTGGCTGCGCTGGTGGCTAAGGAAACAAATACAGCCAGCTTCTCACTAACAATATTAGCTGGGCCCACAATGAAATTTAACCTGTGACACAACTGTACTTTTCATTTAAACTTTCATTTGGAGAGAAACAGTGTTTGGAGACCTGCAGTTTGTCCTGCTAATAAAGACAAGTGTTGGGACCTTTAAGAATGCCATTCATCTTTGCCTTTTATTAAATTCAATTTTCTTAAGCCCATGATACATTATGAAATTAGGAGTTGACATTCCTCTGGAAACAAAAATATCTATCAAATATAAACAGAAAAAAACACCCTCTATTACCAAGAATTTATGGCTTAAAAGTTGATCTCTTTCCACTTTTTTTTTTACAGGCACATGGTTTGTTTTAGATCTCTGAAATGCTCTTACAGATCTAGAATTTCATTAGCATTTATTATAAAATAGTATGCACCTCAGCTCCCACTCTGACCAGCACTGAGTCAGCAGTTCTAGCACACAGACTCTGACAAGTTGGCCTTTGGCTTTCTCCACTGTAGCTCAGTACTCAAACTTTCCTGCTGCTGGCTACCTCATCCACGGGGAAATGGAATCAACCATAGTTGAATCACACTCACACTCCCTGGGGGAATAAGAATAAGCCATCTTCAGCTTCATGGAAAAGGGGTAGATCTCTGAAATGTTTGGGGCAGGGACCCAAAACCCATGACACATCAGACTTGGCCTTTCATAAACATGCTTCTTTGATCTTGCGTGCCCATCAGACAGGTCTCCTCTCTAAGGCCACAAAGAGGAGCTTTTAAGGACCAGTTCCTAACTTTGAATTTACAGGTGTCCTTCCTCAGCAACATTGGGAGCTGTAGTAACAATAGATCTGTATACTGGCACCTGCACTGGATACACAGAGAATGCAAATGAGGAGTCTCTGACAGAAGACTCTTGAAGGAATCAGAGCAGGAGGGACTTCACCTGGTTGCTTCTTACCTTCCCATCATGCCAGTAAGCCCAAAACCTCAAAAGACAGGCCCTGACATCCTAATAACAGGAAAGGAATTCCAGCCTGCACCAAGATGGGCATGAACCTGCAACCAATGCACACAAAGCATGCCAAACACTTCCTTCATTGTTTTTAGCAAGAAATAATCAGAAATGTTACCCTAACACTACAGGTTGGTGGATCAGTTCCAATCCAAGGATTTGTGAAGATGAACAGCTGAATGACTTCTTGCACAACACCACCACCAGCAAGGGAACCAGTTTGCATTAACAGATTCACAACTTACTCTTGTGTCCATCTACATTCAATTAAGCTACTTTATGCAGAACAGCAGGTGTTGGAGGGAGACACAGAGACAAGATGCCGTCTCCACCTGGAGGAAGTACATGGACTAGGGATGGAGAAAGATTTGGACAAATACCGAGCAGTGCACCATGGGAGATCTTAGCACACGGATATACAGCATGTCATGCTTCTCCATTTACAAAAGTACATGTTTACATACATACCAGTTCTTATTTTGCCATTACTAATCGTAAAATATAGGTCAAAAGACAGATCAGATCATCCTCATCATCAGGTCATAAACCAGTCCTATTAAGCAGCTACACAAACTGGGAAGCAGCTGGCCAAGGGGAGCAGCTTGAGGAGGATGGAAGGCACCAGCCTCTGCTGCACATTCCCAGCACCCAGCTCAGTTTTGTCACTCAGTCCTTACTCCCTCACCTGCTGTGCGGAGTTACAAGCCTGGCCCTAAGAGAAAACGCCACTTTTACAGAAGACTCCACAGTACCAGAGAGGTGAAATGATCAAAAACCTGAGATTACAACGTTGGTGGGTGGTAGAGCCAGGATTCAAACCCAGGTATGTAACACTTTTTACCATATCCAATCTCTCGTTACTAAATGGTTTCTCTCCTCAGTTTCTACCAAAATCCCAATATTATCTGGAATAACCTGGAACATACATGGCACTTTTGGTACTAAAACTGGATATTCTATACCATTAGGTTTTCTAAGGACAGGACACCATAAACCCAAAATATTGGTCTGCTATAAGGGGATAGGAACTGGTCACAAAACTTGATAATTAGGCACAAAAGCCTAAATATTAAATTCGTCAAAATACACAAAGTTCTCAACCTACCATCCCTATCCCATCACCTCTGTCAATAAAATGCTATGATTTTTCTTTCACTTACTTGTACTCACTCTTTCATATTTACACACACATATATACGTGCATGTGTGCATATATACATGCACATATGTATTTGCATACATATATGGGGAGAAGACAAATAAAAAGGAAACACTAGACAAATTCATATTCACTTACCTTTTTGAGAGCTAGAGTTAAGATTTTAAACCTACCTGCTTTCTAACTGCTCAATTAGGAATTCCAACGACTGCCTTTGATAAACTGAGGACAAGATGGCAACAGTATTTCAAATGAAATTTCACACCCACAGTTGGTAGATTACCAAAAGTATCTATAAAAGCTGCTTTCAGGATATTCAGATCCCTTGCATCTAAAGTGTCTGAGTAAAATTGTAGTTGAAGACAGAACACCAGCAAACAGGATTTTTAAGCAAAAAGGACACAGGTGATCCTGAGACAGTTCAACAGTGCAGCATTCTAGCTCTTCCCAAAGCAGAGTCTCCTCTGCCTGAACTTGTTCCATGATCCTACCTGAAATCCAGGTCTGAACAGACAGATCACTTTGCATGGCTACCCCCTCTCAACCCAGGAAGCAGCTACCACACTCCCTCAGTTCAGAGACAGCAGCAATCAACCTAGCCTTTCCTTCCATCCTGTGGAAAAAGAAGTCCCACCAAGTGGTGATACTGTCCTCAAAAGTTTAGTAAAATCCAAAAGCAGTACCACATTGTAAGGCAGAGGGACAAACATGCGGAGGTTTTCCAAATACTCAGCTTTGGATACAAGACGCATGCAAGGCGGGCCCTTTCTCCGGTCTCGGGGAAGAAGGGAAGTCGGATGAGAGGAGTAAGGGCTACATGGGGCACGGTTTGTCTAACAGCTTCT